TTTTAATATTTTTGATATCTTTTGGTGAGGAAATAATATTGTCACCAATTTTAGTGGGAAATTTTTGATATATTGAGCGGCAATAAAAAAAAAAAGGGTATTAATTTTTTTTACCCCTTTTCTGTTTATCATCTCTATCTATCTCTCTCTCTCTCTCTCTCAAAATAGGGTATTAATTTTTTTTGTTTATCATCTCTCTCTCTCTCTCACACACACACACACACTCTCAAAATAGGATATTAATTTGTCTTACCTCTTGCTCCTCCACCACGCCGATCGCCATCGTTGTCGCCTCTATTAGCCTTGCCGATCGCCGATTGCCGCTGCCATCAGTAACCTTGCCGGTAACCGCCACATCTTCTTCGCTCGGTGATTTGGCACGTGATTTCTCTTTGCTCTTTTTCTGGTGTCTCTTTCTCTTATTCTCTGTTTTGATATGATGACAAAAATTAGTGAAGAAAACAAATTTCGTTACTAAATAAGAATAATCCATGAGGAATTATAAATTTTGTCAAGTATAATAAAAAAATAAAAATAATAGGTGACGAAATTTATTTCTGTCAATAAACACTTACTTTTAGGTGAGAAAAAAAATTATGTTTCCTCACCTAATTTTTCCCACTAATTTTTTTTTTATGGCACCAAAATTTTGAAACTTTTGGTGAGAAATTTGTTTTTTCACTAATTATAAAATTTTTCACTAATTGTAAAATTATTTGTGAGAAATATATTTTCGTCACTAATAATTTTTAATATTTTTGAGATGTTTTGGTGAGAAAATAATGTTGTCACCAATTTTGGTGAGAAAATTTTGATGTATTGAGCGACAATGACCAAAAAAAAGGGTATTAATTTTTTTTACCCATTTTCTGTTTATCATCTCTCTCTCTCTCTCTGTGAAAATAGACACTACTAAAAAACAGTTAAAGATCACACTTTGACAAATAAAAATATCTCACTTTTATTAGAAGTGTGATAAAAAAAATTAGATTGATATTTTAATCACAATTAATTTGATTGAGTGTGATAATATTTATTTTTTATGTCACTTTTGAATTAAGTGTGATTATATATATTTTTTAATCTCACCTTCTAAATGTGATTATATATAATTTTTAATCATAACTTCTAAATAAGTGTGTTGAATATATATTGCAAAAAATTAAATTCAGAAAATTCAATTAAATTTCTAAAAAAATTAATTTTCTTTTCTTCTTCTCTCTTTTGTGACTCTTGCCCCCCCCCTCTCTCTCTCTGTCTCTGCGAGAATGATAAACACCTCATGGGAACGACCTTTGCATCTCCTCCTCTTCCCTGAATTCGGATCCTCTTCCCTAATAGAGACCCACCCTCTTCACCATAGACGGTGCTTTTCATTTCCCTTACAACCCTTCGAAACTCATTGGCTTGGGAAAGACCTGCAATTTTGGTAAGGTTCTAAACCTAGAGTTTGTTTCTTTTTTTTCTTAAACCCTTCTCTTCTTAAATTAGGGAATTTGATTAAACTATTTGGATTTCAATTCAACGATTTCTGGTGGGGGGTTTTGAATTAGGGCATTTGATTCAACAATTTCTGGGTGGGGGGTTTTGATTTTTTTTTTACATATATAAAATTCTTAGGTAGTGAGCTTTCCCCCCCTGTTTCTCTTTTTTTTTTTGATATTTAAAAAAGAAAAAAAAAGAAAAATCTAACAGACACCATGCTTATGGATGTGAATCCAGAAACCCTAAGAGCATGTTTGTTTTGAGGGATAAGAGGGTGGGATTGGACTATTAGTCCGGACTAATAGTCCATTGTTTGTTTGAAAAATTTTGCTCCGAACTAATAGTCCCCCCGGACTATTAGTCCCACAAACATGGGACTATCCTATCCCATGGGGGGTGTGGGATAGAAACTATGGGATTGGTATCCCATGGGATTATTTTGTGAAATGTCCATTTTACCCTCCATGCTATTACTTAGTGAACAATTAGAAAAGAGTAAAATAGTCTTTTGAACATTTATAAATTATTTTTTTAGTGTTGTTAATTTAAAACTATATATTAAATAAAAAATTTAAATTATAAATTATAAATTACATTTAATTAATAAAAATATAAAATATAAAATATAAATTTAATTTAATTGAAAATAATAAATTAAAAATTGTGGCCTTATAAATTAAATTTTTTTAGTGTTGTTGAAAATTTAATTTATATATTAAATAAAATTATTTTTTTATTGTCGTTATTTAAAATTATATATTAAATAAAAATATAAAATATAAAATATAAATTTAATTTAATTGAAAATAATAAATTAAAAATTGTGGCCTTATAAATTAAATTTTTTTAGTGTTGTTGAAAATTTAATTTATATATTAAATAAAATTATTTTTTTATTGTCGTTATTTAAAATTATATATTAAATAAAAATATAAAATATAAAATATAAATTTAATTTAATTGAAAATAAAAAATTAAAAATTGTGGCCTTATAAATTAAATTTTTTTAGTGTTGTTAAATTATAAATTATAGATTATAAGGGTGAAATAATCTTTTGAACATTTATCCTTATCCAGTCCGTCTAACCAAACATTGGATTTACTAAAAATAGTCCAATCTAGACATCTAATCCCATGACTAAACAAACATAGGATACAAATCCAATCCAACCAAATAGTCCCGGGACAATGTATCTCGGGACTAACAGTCCGATGGATTACAATCCCCCCTTATCCAGTCCGTCCAAACAAACACACCCTAAGATTTGTCTTTTTTTTTTTTTATATGAGTTTCAATAGTCTAAATGGGAATCAAGTTTTGAAATGGGTTTGAAATATGCAAGTGTTCTCTAGCCTTGTCCAAATCAGTTTTATGTTTTTGTTTTTGTTTTTCCAATTTTTTCATTATGTAATGCAATCTATAATATCTATGAAGTTCACGTCTTCTTTTTTGTAGTTTTGCACCTTAAATGTTTATTTATTTACTTCATTGAACTTCAATGTAATGGCTTTCATTTTCCTACATATTTCCTATAACTACAAAGGATTTTGCACCTTAAATGTTTATTTATTTACTGTGGTATATGATTTGTTTGGTAGTAATTCTCCATATGGTATGTAGATTCAATCATTTCACTTTTTATTTGATTGCAACATTTGTCTAATCTTTTTATTTTGTTAGGATTTCCCCTCTTGTTTGTGACAGGAAACATACAAGAATTCTGCATGTCAAGTGTTTGAAGATATTTCCGAGAGATAACCCATCAACCCAATGTTGTTGAAAAACTTATTGTATATTAACCTCTTATAAAATGACTATTCTGTTTGTAATAGAGCATAAAAGTTTTTAAGAATTCAAATGAGATATTGTAAAGGGAAGGGAGTGTCACTACAAGAAATTAGTCTTTTAGAGACTAATATTTAGAGACTAAGTAAATTTGGTCGCTAAAAATAATCTTTTAAGGACAAATTTAAACATATGATAATTACTTATAAGATTGTAAAAATAACTATTAATATTCTCACTTAATATTTACATAATTTTTTTAGACCAATAAATTTGGTTGCTAATATATTATTATCATCTTTAAGGACCAAATATTTTCGTCATTATCAATTAAAAACGTTTTGAGACCAAATATTTTTATCATTTTAACGATTAAAAAGTCAGGACCTCACTTCAGCCCTAACTTGTTCATTCTCTCTTCAACGGGTTTGCTCAATCTTCAGTCCTAAAGTTGGGAGCTCCAAGGCATATTGGGAGCTCAATCTTCTTCAAATCTTGGTGCCCCTCTTTCTCTCTCCGCAATCGATCCCCGTAATCAACCTGTAAGAGCTCCAATTCGAACTTTCAATTTCTGATCGTAATCGATCTCCGTAATTGACCTGTAATAGCTCCAATTTGAACTTTCAATTTCTTATTATTCCATAGATTGAACTTTTTTTGTGTGTATATATATATAAATATCTTAATGCGTGTTAGAATTGAAGAATTCTTTACATAGATTGAACTTGTGTGTGTATATCTAATCTAATGCGTGTTAGAGATGAAAAATTGTTTTCTCGCACAGTTTGATCAATATTGTATTTCGTATGCTGTTAATTTGTTGTTTTAGTGAGTTCCAAGGTGTTACACTATCATTTTCTTTTTTTGATTTTCAATTTCTGATTATTACATGGATTGAACTTGTGTGTGTATATATATATGGCCTTCTTCTCTGTTTTCTCTCACTAAGAATAAGAATGATGAATGAATCGTCTCTCACTAGGCCATATGTATGTAGTATTGCTATCAAACTCTTGAGATTTTAATGACAATAAATTGCCTACTACTCAACTAATGACGGTAGTAGTAGGAATGATGATTTTTAAACTTCTAACAATTGATCTTAAACATTAGGAATGACAATTTTTAAACTTTCCCCTCTTGCGAATCACAAGAGTTAATGCCCATGCTAGTTTCACCTCCCTTTTCCAATTTTTTGTTATTCATAAATTTCTCATTTACGTATTCTTGTTTTTTTTTGGGCTGCTTACAGGATAAAGATGTGTCTAGTGATATATAGAACATTAGAATCGTATATGTTTTTGTTGTTATTTTTCAAGCCTCTTAGTATTGCTTTTGAGACATTACAGGTACTTTTATTGGGAAGTCTTTTCATTTTCATAATGGATAGATCTATCTGTAGATCATGTAACATTTTTCCCATGGAACATATAATAAACACAGGCTGAAGGTTCTTTGGTTTGCAAATTGTTTTTTGTAGGCTATTGTGATTCATGGTTTTCAATTGCTCGATATATGGTTCCATGATTCGGCAGGGAACAACACAAAATGTCAAAGGTCCAAACTCCTTGATATATCAATAGCAGGTAGTTTGCGAACTTTTTTTATGTAGCCATGTTATTTTGCTGTTGTGTTACCAAGTGGTTGGGGGTTCTCATGCTTTCTGGTCCCGTTATTCATTTTCTCCTTATTTTCTTATAGCTTCCATTTTTTTTTTGTGATGCATTTATTTTGCTGTTTTCTTTCTTCATTCCTCTAACTCAGTATTCCCTGTTCTTTAAAGAAGATGTGTTTTGTGAAGCATGGCACTGTGTAGTTTTCTTTATATTCTTTTCCCTTTTCCCCCTATAAAAATAAAATTATTTGAATAAACAGGTAAAACATGTTAAGCCAACTATGTTACCATTTTTTTCTTGTCAACTTATATCTCATAAAAAAAAAAAAAAATTAGTGCTACATTTATTTTGCTGTTTTCTTTCTTTCTTCCTCTAAGCCAGTATTTTATGATCTTTAAAGAAGATGTGTTTTGTGAAGCATAGCACTGTATAGTTTTCTTAATTTCTTTTCCTTTTTTTTTCTTTTCTTTTCTTTTTTTTTTCCTTCCTATAAACATAAGGGGGTTTGTTGCTTGGTGCAATAGTAAAAGCTCTACAGGACCTTTTTACCTATGCCTAGCCTGCTCAGTTAGTGTCAATGTCAAGAAAATGCACCAATCTCTATCTTTTTTTCTTAAAGGTTTATATGTTTGTGATTATTTTAATTTGACATGTTTTTAGTTGGTGGGTTGTCTTGGCAATGTTTATATGTTTATTAATTCTTTCTAAGACCATGGCTTTCCACGATTCTTGCCAATCATTCGTTTTCTATTGTTATTGTTGATGTTGTTGCTAAAGACCAAGGGTACCTCTGATTGTTGTTGTGGATTGGATTTGTCATTATTGTAACTTAACGAATTTGAGTGCAGGTTCATTTTGTGAATGGAAAGGCATTCTCATACGGAACTTGGGTTTTCTTCTGGACATCATGACGTTATTGATGGCCCTCTGTCATTATGTGCATATCTGGTGGCTTCATGGCATGAAATTTCATCTTGTGGATGTAGTTCTTTTCCTAAATATATGTGTAAAGTTTCTTGCTATTTTTTTGTAGCAATATATTGACATTCATTTGACTTGGACTTTTCAACATTATTATTTCATGTTTATTTTATTTAACACTTCATATTATTGACCAGGCCTTGTTAGGTGAAATTGTAAAACGTATCAAAGGATTTATTAGGTTGAAGATAGCTTTAGGCGCCCTTCATGGAGCACTTCCAGATGCAACACCTGAGGAGATTGAAGCATATGATGATGAATGTGCTATCTGTAGGGTGAGCTTGTTAGCTTAGTTTATTCTCAATTCCCTGTTTGATTTTTTGTTAATCTCCAAGTTGTTTGACGGGTGGGCAAATGACAGGAACCAATGGCAAAGGTGAAGAGACTATCTTGTAAACATCTTTTCCATCTAACCTGTTTGAGATCTTGGTATGATCTATGTTGCTTGTTACGATCTTGGACCCCCCCATCATGAGTAGAGAGGAATTTGAAGCTTGGAAAGCTGATCTATGGAGGAAGCATACAACGGAATCTATTGCTGCAAAGGTACTATCAATAAGCATCATTCCTTATTATCTGTTATTATTGCTTGAGTTTTTGTTCCTAGGAAATTTAGCAAGAAATAAAACTTAAAAAGTTTTACTAGCAATAATGCTTCCTCATATTTATATCTATCTGTGGAAGTGGATATCAGATGCTACTCTATTTTTGCTGCATAGTGTGAGAATGCTGCTTCGAGTTTGTAGGAAGCTACTTTCTGCAAGTGCAAATGTTGCCAAAGGCTTCATAGATTCTAATCATGCCATTAATTTAACTAGGCTCTACAATCCAAAATTGAATCCCAATCAACAAGGGTCCATCTTGGGCCTGTAGGCCTGCAATGAGTTGTTCACATGTGCACAACTACAATGACAGAGATCCTAATCTTCCACTGCGGTGTAGCTTAATTAGATGGTAGTTCATAGATTGAATTCCTTTGTTTTGTCATAAAGGGGTCTATGCCATTGAGTCGTTTACATTTTGTTTTATTTCCAAAAACCTAAGACTAGCTTGACAAGTGACAATAATGTGAAGAGATAGTTATTCGTAATTGCTTTTATGTGTTGCACTTTGTACATGAAGCTGTCCTTTGTTTTGCTACATGTCTTTGGCAATCCTATGTAAAGCACAAATAGAATCATTTAGAAACACAAATATCATTTAGCTATAACAACCACAACTAGCTGAGTCAAATATCATTTAGAAACACAAATATCATTCAGCTATAACAATCATTTAGAAACACAGATATCATTTCGATAAACCTGTTGCATCCACCTCAAAGCTCCTGAAGAAACTTAGGACCTATTCAGGTATATTGAGGCTAATATTTTTCTTTTTCTTTTCGTTATCTTTCTTTCAAAAACTTCTTTTCATATGAAAAAACTAGTCTCACCGATTATATACCATTTTTACTTTTAGTCACCTATATGAATGAGTATTTAGATGAAGCCTTGAAATCATTATTGACAGAATAGATGTATGATAATATTAAGATTTTACTAAGCAATTGACAAATCGTGATGAGTATTACGTAGTAGAGCTCTTCATGACTAGGTAACTGTCTAATGTTTATCACATTTTTCTTCTCTAGTATCAATGAAGATGAAGGAATTCCAGGCAGGAGCAGATCGGGCAGGAAGGGTAAATTCTGGTTTTAAATAATTGTGTTCCTTTCTACCTTAGGGAGCTTTGGTGTTTGTGATGCTGACAACAAGGAGTCCCAAAAACCTACCAATTCAGTGTTAAATTGCCAATAACCATATTTTTTGCTTTCACATTTTGAACACAATGGCATGGCATACATTCAGAGAAATATGTCCTCAAAGATGTATATATGCCTGCATTTTCTTTCCCTCCCTAATCACACCATTGAACCCACAAACACACCATCTCTAACACCATCTCCCACCAATCCCTTAGGATACATGTTTGGATTTTGATTTGGATTTGGAACTGAGTAGGGCTTTGCAAATCCCCCTCAAATCCATCATCCAAACACAATATTAAAGAAAATCAACAATTGAACAGAGGAAAACTATTCCCATTACACAAACAAACAACAATAAGCCCTACCCATTAGCTATCATTCTCTTCCGGTTATGAAACTCCATAGATGGTGTCGTTGGAAACCTGTCTTCCACTTCATTTATAGAAATATGAATTGTACTCTAAGCTGAAATTATGCAACATACCTTGTAGTTTTTATTAATAAGTTCTATGACACTGAATTATGGGTGGCATGAGTATCCCTAAAATTTATCCTAATACCCTATTGTTTTTCTCTGATAAGGAGTTTCTTTTGTTTTTTCTCTTTAAAATAATTTGTGCCAGTCAACTATTCTTTTGATGCCTTTCCAACAAAGTTGTGCATTTCTAAATTGTGATATTTTACTTCAGAATGTGTGAATTTAATCTGTTATTTGTTAACTTATCTATATTGTCCTTATCTTATTCCTATAGGTACAGTGTTTCAGTTCTTTGATTTGAGTTAGGAATAGATTCTTAAACAATATGATGTTGGAGATGCATGTGTAACTCTTGAAGATCCTCACACTGAAGACCTCAGCCAAGAAGTTAGAGGCTTCATATTCTCTAGAATTCTGGTTTGTTTTTGAAAGTCATATTTGCCTTAATTGCAATTCCATTTCAAAATACTTTTGGTCACATCTATAGCTGCATTAATTGCTGATCTTTCTCTCTATACATGATCTACATATATTTAGCAGATGTTGTATGTTTACTAGAGACCATTATAATCTTTTATTTTCTGGATGGAGAATCTTTTTTGGCTGAAAACTCAAGTTTGAAAAATGTTTTCAAGCAATCATGAGTGGACTTTTGTTCAGAAACATATCACATAATAGGAAAATAAAGTTTTGTTTGCTCAGAAACATATTCTTGATAGCAAAGACGCAGACACTTGGCACGAACATGACACAACATAGATATAAATACTAAAACAAGACATAGACATGGCGACAACATTAGAATAATGAAAATTGCGTATAAACATGGGAATAATTAAAAAATGTCCATTACATACTTGAGTTGTGGCAGCCATGTCTATGATGCCAGTGTCTTGCATTTCTTCCTTTATCTATTTATTTGAATAAATGTTTGGGTGCTTTTGGGTATGTTCATCCTTTTAATAAGGTTGTTCGTATGGCTACAATTGTTGCCTTTGTGTTTGAGTAAGTGTTAGCCGAGGCCCCAAAGTTGCAAAGCATATTTAAATAATGTACACAGCCAAGAAGTATCTTAAGTCTCTAGGTGTGTCCAAGTGTAGGTATTGAAGCAGTGTTCTACATGGACACTGCTTATTTGTGTCCGTGCTGCTAAGACTATAGTGGGTTGCTAAATGGTATGGAGAGTCTAATTTAACTATAAGTAGTTTGACTATTAACACTTTTTGACAAATACTATATTGACTACTATTATTATTTTTATTGTTATATTTAGTAAGACAAGAAAATTGACTATCACTAATACATAGGATACAGTTACAGCATGGAAATGAACTTTTTTCAAAGTAGAGACAAAATTATGTATTTACTCTCGTGTATTTTTGCTAGGCAGTGTTGGAGTTGCTCTAAGTTAGTGATGTGATTAATAGGAGCTTGCCATGTACAAAGAAACTTCTGGTTGTTAAGTTAGACTCATTGTGTACACAATTTGTATTGACATGGATAGAAAGGTCTATACAATGTAATTGGTAATATGTTAATATTTTTCTTATTTATTTTCTTTGTAGATTGGTTTTTGATGACGTTTGGAAGCATACTTGCAAATCAAGATCAAGTGTTGAATTTTTTTTTTTACTGAACTAATACTTAGTTGTACTTGCAAATCAAAATTGAATGTTGTTTTTTTTTTTTGGACTCCACGTTAGTTTATTTTGGGATTTGCTTTGATGATTTTTTTATTACACTTAATGGATTATTATTAAAGTTGTTTGATGGATATATTTTGATTTATAATACAATTGTTTAGTGAATTTTTTTGTGGAGTGGTGTATAAAAGCTAGTGGATCTCTTAGCACATTTAAAAGGCTATTGGGATATGAGCAGGATATTTGTGAAATAATAATTTAAATTGAAATATAAAATATGGAACAAGTTTAGTGATGAATTTGTTTCGTCATTTGTACTTGTTATTATGACAAAGTGATTATTCGTCACTAATAAATATTTTTTGTGACAAAATTTATTGCAAATTATACATGAAAGTTTTCATTGATTTTGTTGTTTGGTGACTAAAAATTTCGTCACGTATATATATTCTTGTTATGAAATATATTTCGTCACCCATTTGACTTTTGGAGACAAAAAATTTCGTCACCTTTACATCTTCCTGTGACGAAATTATTTCTTCATCAATGATCAACACGTGTGACAAATTTATTCGTCAACTAAAATTATAAATATGGTACTGAATAATTATTTGGTGATGAAAATGAGAATTTTTGGCAACAAAATCTTGTTTTATTGGCGACAAAAAATTTCATCACTGAAGTAATTTCATTGGTGACGAAATTATTTTTCGTCACGGTAGTTTTTAGTGACAAACATTCAATGACGAAACTGGTGACAAAAATATTTTCTCACAAATATCTATAGTGACGAAATTAGCTCTTTGAAGACAAAAAAATTTCGTCATTCAAGACCCAACTTGTTGTAGTGGTTGCAACAAGAAAAGGAGCATCACCAGTGGCCAGTCAGCCACTGCCACTGGCCGGCAGGCCACCACTGTTGGACGACACCTCTTGTTGGTGGCCAGCCGGCTACCAATGAAAATTTGGCAGAAAGCTTGTCAAGCAAAGCAGAGTTGATCTGGAGAAGGAGGACCACTGCATGGAGTGTGTAACCGAGGCAATTGGAAGCAAAACAACTGGCGTTCTTCGGGTGGAAACCGAGCATGCATTGGGCATCCCTCGCCTCTCGAGGCCTTTAGTTAACTTGCTTAGTTAATATAAGTAGATTAGTTAATTAATTCATGTTGTAATTAATTAGTTTAGTTGCTTTGTAAATAATTAGTTAAGTATTTAGCTAATTAGTTTGCTGTATAATATTTAATTAGTTTAGATAGTTAATTATTTAATTGTTTTAATTAACTAGCCTAGAGTAAGCTTGTTATTCATTCGAAGTGTTGTAATAATTAGCTTAATTAGCTAGCTAGTTAGCTTTATTCATTCGGACCCTTCTTTGCAAGGGGCGTAATGTTGTAATAAGTGTGCGTGCGTGTGTGTATGTTTTTCAACCCCACGTCTTTCTTTCTTTTATTTAATCGCTTTCAATGGTTAGATTAGAAGCATCATATTTCAAATTAGCATGCCTTATACTTGCATCCATTCATTTGTATCGCATGCACCGAGGCTCGACGCATCATTCTAACTGCATTGCCATTTCAATACTTATTTGAATATGTGTTTAACCGCATGTTATCAAATCGATTCATATGTCATATTAGTAGTCGAGCGTATTAATTGTATATTGCATGTGTTGCATTAGACACTTAACATAGTT